TGCTGCGTCCGAGTCAACTAGAGTGGGGAGCTTGTCCGAATGTCGACAGGAAATCAAGCTCGTCCGTTTGCCTGATTGATGTAAAGAGGATGGGTCAGTGCGATGCAGGGCTGGGTTGTGCAGGGGGGGGAGGAACCCCCATCCCAGCGCTGCGTCCGAATCAGAACTGACGTCTCGTTCGCGTCCGAAAGAAAACGAGACTTGCCCCGACTTCAGATGGGAGGATGTGGTCGTTCGTTTGCCTGAACGATAATTAGCGGTGGATATTTCGAGTTCGATATCAACTTGTCCAGGGGGAGAAGGAACCCCATCCCGGCACTGCGCAATCAGAACTGTCGGTCCAACTAGAGTGGGGAGCTAGTCCGAATGTCGACAGGGACGGGGCTCCACCGGTTTGCCTGGTCGATGCAGACATGGACGGGTGATTCAGTGCGACGATTAGGTCATCCAAGGGGAGAAGGAACACCATTCCTGGCGCTGCGCCCGGATTAGAGAAGCTTCGTCCAACTAGAGTGGGGGGCTTGCGCGACTGTTGACAGTGATGTCGGCTCGTAGAAAAGTGGGCTCGCCCTTCCGGCTGATGAAAAGTAGAAGGGGTTGTTCGTTGTTCCGGTTCCAGGTTGACTTGTCTACACATTTGTTGGAATCAAAGATCGTCCAAATGTGACTGGGCGTATCAAACTCTAGGAAAAGAGAAGTAAGTAGAGATATTGATAAAGTACTCGCACTGGGACAGGTGAGGTTAAATTGGGGGTTAGGGTGGGTATGGATGTGGAGCAGGTGGCTTTTGGGTCAAAGGTTTTAGTTTGAGTCGAAGCTTATGTTATCTTGGCTTGTTATCATCTCTCTTAAGTACTATACTGGCGTAGCTGAGGTAGAGGGGACCTGTGGTGAGGATCAAAGCAAACTTGAACTCAGCCAGTCTACAAGGGACTCTTTTCCAGACGTTGAGCATGCTCCTCCAAGTGTGCAAATCTGTGGCGGGCCTGAGTTGAGGCTGGAGCAGTTGAGAATACTTCAACGAGGGTGGCTCATTCGACTCTGAGTGGGCTCACGTGTACGTCCAGGATACAAGAGTAGCCTTGTAGCCTTATTTGCAGTTTGAATCTCAACATTGAGGGACTTCGAGTTGTTTCTTTCCACCGCATGCACGGCACTTAAATCAAAAGGTGTGCATAGTTGGAAGACGTGTAGTTTACTTTGATTTACCACCCAAGTGACGAAAAGTAAGTTGTCTCCTGCAACTTAAGACTCGTGTCAAGCAAGGTAAACATCTCCTTTTAAATATCACTACCAGACCCATGGTTGTTATACTGTACTACGAGAACGACACGAGTGAGGGAACTGCAAAACTCGAGGGACTAATTCACTCAGGCTTTTTGCAAGGAAAGGATCTTCTGCAGACTCGAGAGGAAAACAATGTTGACCCTGGGTATTTACCACCTCCTCAAAGTTCATAGGAAGTGAGAAGAAAGGTTGTGCCCCACATTTCAACCTAGGACCGAGCTCGAATCTGCATGGCCAATGTACGAGGAGGCCCAAAATCAGCCCCGCCTCCCGCTCAAGCTGCTCAATTCAATAGTAGTTTTTGCCGCCCTTGCCACAAGTCTTTGGAACTCGCGCGCACTCATTCAGAAATGGAAATGCAGGAACAACAGAACGTGCTGTAAGGACATCATGGAAACAAAGCTCGTGAGCCCCAATGGTAATCTTTACACGTTTGCTCACCGGCCAATCTGAGGGTCAGCACTTGCCGCACTCAGCTAACTCCGTTGAGGGCCAGCCCAGCTTGCATGCAGCTCAAAGGTAATGAGCTCCACTTCCTTGCTTCTCATCATTTCACGTGCAATGCTTCTAATGCAAATGGCGTCTCCTTCTGAGACATGCAATTGGACTCTTTAAACCAGCACCATTCGCCGTAGCAAATTTCTGAGCACCTGATGCACAATTTTCAGAGTTGGTCTTATGCTGGATAAATGTCAATGCCTTTTTCAAATGTGCGACCAATGCAGCTAGCTCCTGAAGCTCCTCAAAGAGTCAGCCACTCAGTAGTGTCGTGCGCTTTCCAGAGGTACATACTTATCACTCAAGTAGATACCGACTTGGTCGAAAAATCAAGCAGCATTAGCCTTAGGAACGCTTTTCTCCAACAAAGCAAGTCAAGGTTATTACATAGCATGTCCGCAGTTCGTTGTACAAATTAATATCTGCATGGGCACATATGTATATATTGTAGTCATGGGTGCGCATTTCCAGGCTTGCACCTCTATCAGCCACTTTGAGATGTCCTAAATCAGACAAATATCAACAACTAGCTAAGCTTTGGCTCTGAGGCTGAGCATTCCAAGGCAGCACACAGGCGCAGTGTAAACGTTTTTCACGCATATCCCACGCGCGCACTTGCTAAAAAGTCCACTGAGCCGTCGATCTTGGTTGAGCAAAGACTTGTATAGACGGCTGCAAAAGTAAGCTTGCAAGGAGAGTGTCTGCCGTCGATTGGATTCCCTTGGTCCGAGATGGACGGCTTCAGTATGAGGTTCGACGATAAGGGCAATTTATGATCACATGATCACATGAATCCTGTATATCGTCGAAGAACTTTGGTACCGACATGCATGGAGGCACGAGGAAATAAAGAATGGCTTGCCAATGCTGAGCTGCCACAGTTTGATTTGCGCCAGAGAACAGCTCGCCATGGCTGCTCATTCTGCAAACTTGCAAGCAGAATCGGGCCCATTTACTAAGTAATACTAGTATTATTTATAGGTAGGTAGCCTTGTAACCTAAGAGAGGGGGCTGGTTCCGAAGGAAGAGCTTTGTAAGACCTTTGCGGCAGCTTTGTGCTCTCTCCTCTGACAATGCTGGTCGAAGAAGCGGAGAAAACGGGTTTGTGGCAGTGGGTTTCGAAGAAGGTGTGTGACGCCTCTCGGCAGTGGCTAGTCTTCCACCTTTATTCTTGACTGTTTTGCAGTCTTCGTTGTCGCAGATCTACCATTGCTGCTGTATGTTTGTGTCAGTTCAAGACTGTACTTTCAGGCCTCTTCTAGCTGTGTCAGCACAGCTTTGTTCACCCCTCACCCTGTTTGTCTGGCTTTGCTCATCAAACTGTAGGTCTGATAGACAAGGAGAATGTACTTTCTGGAGAAGGGAGACATGAACAAGTTCCAGGACATCTTCATTTGTATTTTATCAATCTGGTGAACAAGGAAGGGCTTTAGGAACCTTTCAGTCAAGGAGAGACTGGCAGGCAGGAAATGTCCTCTTGAAAGGAAAAGCACAGCGCACGCGTATAACCATCTAGTTTGAACACCACATTCTGAAGGCAACCTCCTCATTTTGGGGTTCCGTGCTTGTCAGGTTAACCAGTATATGAACATGCAACTCTTCTCTGCGAGTTGAGGAGTTGTCAAGTTGAAAGCTTCCCCTTTGCTCTGCAATATGGCAGATTAACACCCCTGTTGTGAGTCACTCAATGTGACCAGAGTCTGTGGCCCCTCTCAGACATCAGGGCATTAACTTAGCTGTCTCGAAGGTGTTTCCCCACAAACCCCAAATCCAGGTACAAATCCAAGATGACTAGTTTGTGATGTAGGCAACCAAGGGAAGCATTCAACGCAGTAGGAATGGTGAACAGAACATCAAATGTAAGAGGCGAGAAGCTTGTTGAGTCATACTAGCATGTCTTCAATATTACCCCTGGCTGTTGTGCAGTATTGACTATGCCCCATTTTCTGGTGTAAGAGATCTGCAGGAAAATTCGCAAGGGTTGCGAATTTGCAAAGTAGAATAAACTCACTGGCTTATTGAATCGACAAAGATTTCATATCCCGCCGAGACAAAGGCAGACAAATTTCCGGCGGAATTTCTTCTTGACATGTCTCTACCCTCGTTGAATTTTCTACACCCCTCAGAAAGTGAACTGATGACTCTGCTTTGAGGTTCCTTGTGGCCCCTCTTTCCATCTTTAACCTTCCTTCCTATGATCATTTGCAGGTCAAATTGACCCTGAAGCAACTTCATCTTGCACTTTGAAAGCCAACATGCTTGACCACAAGGCCTAAACTGAGCATTGGAGCAAGAGCCTTCACACCGTGATGGATAATCACGAGACAGCGCTTCCAACTTGCAATGCTGCCGTGGCATCTGAATGTGACACATGCCAAAGTCCAGAAGGCTTCAAAGGGTTTGAGACGCCCCCGCTTTCAGCTGCCGCACTCTCGCAGCCCCTAGAAGCCTTGCGCTTCCACCCCTTTGCAACAAGAACCTCTGCACTGACAGCCAGCAAGGCGGCTGGCGCAGAGTCCTCTTCAGAGGTGTCCACTGCTGAATCTTTGGAACAGGCCTCTACGCACTCACTCCTCCAGACTAGCTCGGTTCACGGCCTGAAACGCCTCCGTTCCATCACCTTCTTTGGAAACGTGGAAAATGAGGCGACAGAGCAGAGCCCGACCAAGCGCTTCAGCCCCCAGGGTTTGGAGGTGCAGGGTTTGGAGGGGTTAGAGCCTCAGGGTTTGGAGGTTTCGGAACGTCCGTACTTTGACGGTTTGGAGATTCAGGTTCCGGCAGGCTTGGCTTCTCATGCTTTACAAGTGGAGGTCGGCAGTCCCGGAAGCTGGGCCACAGAAACAGGGTTTGAGGGATTGGAGGCTTTCGACAATGGGTTGGAGACAGCTTCACCACGTTCGCTGGGGGGGTTTGAGGGGTTTGGGAACGGGATTGAGACGCTGCCAGGTGTGGTTTCCGGGGCTGGGTTTGATCTGTACTCGCCCGCAACGGAGGTGGCCCCCGAAAGCAGTGCCCTGGGTAGCGACTTTGATCTGGTGGGAGCGGAAGGGTTCGATGTCTCGCCCGAGGTCCTGTTTGCCAGAGCGAACCACGCAGATCTGGCAGGGACTCAACGGAAACTTTTCAGAGAAAGCGGGCCTTGTCGAGAGTGCGCTTCAGGTGCAGAGGTCCTAGAAGTGATCGTCGTGTTGCGGGAGATGGGGGTTCTATCGGATGGTGGCACACCGGCAGCTGAGCCCCTGGCGGGGTCGCTCGACGACCTTGCGAGTGGGGACTTCGTCAGTGCACTCGGGAACGAGCTCTCCGAGTGCTCGGAGTCTGCCGAGAGCGTCGACTTGGAGCGTGGGTTAGGGTTTCAGGATGGGGGTTTAGGGTCCGGGTTAGAGGAGCTGGAGCAAGTCACAGGGGGGCAGGAGGAGCAAGCCCGGCGGATGGAGCGCATTGAAGCATTGCTCGCGCAGGAAGTTGTGCGAGAAGCGGAGTTGATCGAGGCCCGCATTGCGCTGGAGGGAGTAGCGGGAATGACGTCAGTCCCGCAGCGTGTCGACATCGCGACCTGGCTGCAGGGCCTGCGACGGGGCCACGTTTCCCGAGCAGGGGTAGCGGCGGCAGAAAGCGGGGTTAGGGAGAATGGGTTAGGGGTGGGTTTGGTGGAAGACGGGCTGGCGGAAGAGGCAGACTTCAGTGAGGTCGGGAGTTCGATTGGTAACACGAGCATGGCTGTCTTCAGGGGGGACTTGAACAGCCATTTGGGAAGCGTTTTGGGTGAGGACGACGAGGGTTTGGAGGGGTTAGAGGGCCGGGTTGCAGGCGGTCTAGATGGCGAAACCATGGGCCCAATTCCGGAAAATGTGGGAGGGGGAGATCTTGTGGGGTTCGAGTTGGCGCCGACTGGTGGGGTGGAGGAGAGAGGTGGTAGAGAGTGGGTTTGGGACGGCTCCGACAGGGTTAGGCACGGTTTGAACGAGGTTAGGGTGGGTTTGGACGGCGTGACGAGGAGGCGCCGCACACGGGAAGAAGAAGAATTGCCACTACTGGCGCATCTGTCCCCCAGAGTAAGGGGTTTACCCGTCCTTCACTCTGTGCTCTGTACAATTTCCACCTGCTTTCCTCCCTCCCTCACCCACATTGTCGTTCTGCAATGCTTCTGTTAGTGCAGTCGAGTACTAAGAGCTATGTTGATTTACGGGCTTGGCCTTGAGAGTTTACAGAGTCCTACCATCATTGCATAGTGTTGTCAATTTCGTCTGAATTTGGAGTTTGACCTTAAGCCGTGCGTCAATGTGGGGTCGCCCTCAAGTCCTTTGTTTCAGACTGATGCACCTGCAGAATTCAAAGGATTGCAAGATCAGATGTATCGCTCCCTTTGTTAGGTGCATCTTCAGCAGCTCCCACAACCTTCACTGTCATATCAGCCCTTTCCTGAAAAGCACAGGAATGGTTGCCTGCTTGTCAATGTCAGCCTGCTTTCTTATTCCAACTCGAGTGACCTTGCCAAACCCCTTTTCCTGCATCGTAACTTCTGAGCCACTCCAGTTATACAGTGCTCCAAGAACCCTTCTGAACACATACTGAAAGTTCACGAACTGGCATTCTTTGGGATGGGGGCCATCTCTCTGTGGTCAGTTTCTGTGCTTCTCGCACTGAAATCAGTGCTCCTCTTTCTCTTTATGCAGAGCGAAGGTGGTGTCTCCGCAGCGCTCGACTCGTACCCCCAGCTGTACTACATGGACCAACTGGAAGACGGTGCCGCCTCAGAACAAATCGACCACATCCTGACCGGTAACTGGAACCCTAGGCAAGCCCTGCGCATGTTAGCCGACACCCAAATGGATGATGTGGCGGATGACGTGGCGGAGGTCAACCTGACGGAACTAGAGTGGACCGCTTTCTTGCGGGAGGCGCTGCTGGGGGCGTGGCGGCGGGAGGGTGCGAACGGTGGGTTGGAACAGGGTTTGGGCGGTGTGGCAGGGGGTTTAGAAGAGGGTTTAGGGGCGGAACAGGTGGGTTTGGAAGCAGACTTGGGACGACGGACTCCGGGGGGTTTGCAAGAGGGTTTGGAACGGGGTTTAGGGCTGCCCAACGACGAAACCCTGCGACAGTTCAGCCTGCTAAACCCAGCGGAAATGGTCGCCGCGCTGGCCGACCCTCGCCTCGTTGCGCGTCTCGAGACGCGGGCCGAGAGGGGGCTGTTCATTCAGGGCACGCGCGTGCCGCTCCTCGAACGGACGTTCCTAGGGGGCCTGGAGAACGATGACGTCATCCTGAGCGAGAGCGACACCGAGTCGGAGGCCGAGGAGAGCGAGGTCGCGCTGGATGACGTCAGCGAGGTGGGGTGCGACGTCATCGACGATCTGGACTCATACGGGGCGTTCTGCACAGCAGGGGGTGCTTTGACGGGGCCAGACGGCCCCCCCACGGAGACGAATTTGGAATCAGGGGGCCGTTCGAGCGCCCAAACGGACCCCCCCCAGGACTGCTCGATTTGCTACCGGCCGCTGGAGGCGGAGCCCGTGCTGGCGCTGAAGTGCGGACACGAGTATCACGGGACGTGCGTCAAGAAGTGGCTGAAGTCCGGGGCGCCGAACGCGCTATCGTGCCCGTTCTGTCGGGGCAAAATCCGACGGACGCCAGGTGAGTGCCCGGGCTTCTTTGACTTGTGTGACAAATAGAACAAACAGCTTCAAAGATGTGGAAACTGAAGAATGCAAAAAGATGCAGAGATCTTCTCGGCGGAGGGATTAGCACACGGTGGGTGAACGCCTATGTTGGGCTCATTGAGGAATTCATTCTCATACCAAGCGGACTTTGCAGATTGTCATTGCGTAAATTTGGACGACAGGGTATTTGCTCCGCTGCTTCGACACCGGTTTTACAGTATCTCTGTTCATCCTAGATCGGCTGAGAAGGATACTGTCAACGACAGTAAAATGTTCGTCTTGGTCCTAAAATCAGCATGGGCATGGGCGAAAACGAGAAATCCTCAGATTCCAGACTGCTGCCCAAAAAGTGGTTCTTAGTTGTCCGAAAATGGCTGAGGTTTTGGATTTCTGATACCGCCGCCTTTGGACTAACATCATTCACTCCCAAAGGCACCGTCTTTCCTAAGGCCAAGAACCAACTCCTTTCGTCACAGGTCTCCATTCTATCACCTCAACGTGCATTGAATATGTGTACCGAATCCAAATTCCCTTCATCTTCTTCTACAGCTCTGGAGGAGCTTCTTCCAGCCAACGGCGCTGCCGCCCGTCTTCCCCGCAGCCCCAGCGAGGCGACCATTGACCTGCACGACGACCGGAATCTGGACGCCGACGAATTGCTGCACGAAGTGCGCCAGTGGCCGGATGCGGAGCGGCTGATTGTCAGCGGAATCGGCGTCGAAACGGTTTTGCAGGTAGGAAAATATTTGTTAACTTTTCGCTTTTCCTGGAGATTGATATAGTCATTTTTCTGATGGAAGGCGACGAGGTTACTGCACGAGATACGCCAGTGGCCGGATGCGGAGCGGCTGATTGTCAGCGGGATTGGTGTCGAGACCGTTTTGCAGGTGGGACATTCTGTCGATACACAGAATCCGTTTGGAAAAGTTCTTTCTCTGCACTGAATCGAATCTTTAATTTTGATAGTTCCGGAAACTCGGTTCGTCTAAGCTCAGTCCGCTGCCGGGTTGCATTGTGCCCCGGATGCGGAGCGGCCAATTTTCAGCAAGATGAGTTTTGAGACCGTTCTCCGGGCAAGAGTCCCCCTCTCTTCAGAGCTGGTTAATCTTTGGGATCCTCGACTGAGATGCGGGCAAAGCGAAACCTGAGATGTGTGAGCAGAGGAGCTTTTGCCTGGAATGCATCACTGATTACATGGAAGAGATGCTGATTGTCAGCCATGTCCCAACCCTTTTCTTGCAAGGTACGTGTAGGTCTCCGCATCAATGTGGCTTGAAGGCCGCTTTGGAAAAAGTCTGGCCTAGAAGCATGGTTGATCTGCCCCAAGACCCGTTGCTTTGGAGTTCGTTGGTAGTCCGACCGAATTGAGTTATGTATGCGGGATCAGCGTCTAGAAGTTTTTATTCGTGCGATCCTTGCTCTGCTTCCTGGGCCTCTCCATTTCTTTCTTTCTAAGTCTCACTTTCACTAACGCTTTGTAAGACCATCACTCGAGGCCAGTACCGAAAATTGACCGTTCAGTGTCTCCGGTCGCTGCAAGATGTCGAGAAGCGATTGGATGTCTTTGATTTTCAGCTGCTCGCGAATATTCAAGCCGAGGTTCACCTAACCGCGCTGTGTGGCACCGGAAAGAGATTTCGCGCCTCTCAAAGGTTCTGCCGCAACTTGATTGAACCGTAGTGTTAATGGAGTACCAGCGCTTCGACGGTCTAAGCATCGAAGACAAACTGTTTGAAAAGTCGTTGCCTTCTCAATTCCGGGAGGAAGCCCAAGCGTATAGCATTGCCTCACCAGAAAGATTGTTCCTGAAACCCGCTACTTCCGGAGGGTCTGCTGAAATCTTTTCTGGAAGTTGCTGTAAAGTCAATTCTCAGACTGGTTAAAAGGTAACCAACAAACCCGGTCAATTCTTTCCAGGTTCTGGAGGAAGCCCAAGCCGAGATCCGCATCATCGAACTTTACGGCACCGGGGAAGACCGCGTGGCTGAGGAGGAGCGCTTTTGGTACCGCATGAGGGGCGACGCGCTGCCGCCCCTGCCCAGCGACCCCACTCTCAGCACAGCACGGGTGAGCCCGCTCTAGTTGTCTTCTCCTGCTTCTGCCTTGCATCCCGCTCTAGTTGTCTTGCTTCTGCTACGTTTCCACTTTGGGGCCGCCTTGTGGAGATGCGCTGCCGCCCCTGCCCAGCGGACCCACTCTGAGCACAGCACGGGTGAGTCCGCTCTAGTTGTCTTCTCTGCTTCGGATTTACAATTCCGTTCCAAGTGTCTTACCCCTGCATAAGTAAGTCAGGCTCTGGTTGTGTTGCCTTTGCTTTCGGATTTACATAACCCCTGCGCTACCGCCTCTGCCCAGCGAACCCACTCTGAGCACAGCACGGGTGACATAGCGGATTGGCAGTAAGAGCCGCGCTCTAATTGTGCAGCATGGGATTTGTGCCAATCCGGGCGAGCCCTTCTGATACCAACGAGTCTGGGGCGTTCATCTTTCGTACCGTGAAAGCAGACGGTAGGGACCGATAATGTGCTGTTGCTAGGCCGTTTCGGATCTTCTGTGGTCCGCCTGTTCAAGAACGGATTCACTCCTTGCACCCTAACCCAATTTCGCCTAACCCAAGCCTCCCTCGTTGTGCAGGGCTGTGCTGCGGTGCAACGGCTGCTCCTCCACAACGGCGAGATGCGCAGCGGGTCAATGGCCAACCCCCTCGGGTCACCGGTTAACCCGGGCGAGGCAACCTTCACTGCCTTTGTGCAGCGCGTCTTTGGGCAGCTCCCGAACTTGGTCGACTTTTCCGCCCCCGCATGCGGACCGGATCTGCGCCCCGCAGGCCTGGCGTGGCTCGTCGAGTGCTGTCCAAAGTGAGTCGGTTCCTCAGGCTTTTAAGTGGGTATTTGTGCTAATGGTGAATAATGTTCATTCTTCGCACGGCGTGTTTTCCTGGATGTTTTTGAAATCCAGATTCGCTACTTCATTCTATGTAAGGATTTGTACACTTTGAAACCGGATTCTTGTCCATTGAAACTTCGGTGATTGTATGTTTGACTTCCGCTCTTTTGTACCCCGTTGTTGCTTTCACGTCTTGCTCCTCCTGCGCCGTTGCTTTCCAGTGGATACCCGCTGTTCGTTGGGCAGTTTGATTGGGACACGTACACGCCAGTGTGCCTCATTGAGGGCCATTGACACGTCACACCTTAGATTGCATCAATATCGCATGTAGCAAATCGTGACAAGGATTGTGAGCTGGCCGTTGCGTACTGGAAACGTGAAGTTCAACACTCAAACGGACGAGCTAATGTCAAAGCCTTTTTTGGAACAGGTTAAGAATCCTCCGCTTGGGATGGTGCTCCTTCCCTGACTTGGGCGTTGGCATTGGCCCCGTGGCCGAAGCCCTTGGGCGGCAACTAGAGGAGCTCGAAATCCTAGGCCCCTTCTTAAATCTAGACTCCTTGAACGCCCTGGTGCTGCATTGCCGACGGTTGAGGGTCTTGAATATAAGCCGGGGACATCACGGGGGCCGAAATTGGCAACCCGGCATTGACTTGGGGGAGACGGTGGATGCGGAGCATACCGAGGAGTACGACGAGGCGTTCGGTAGACTCGCCCAGCTGAATCCCCTCTTACGAATTGAGGTGGCGCAAGGTAGTCAAGAGTATCTGTCGTTTTGAGGAGGGGTTGTTGCTGGGGGTCTGAGCGAGTAGGGTGTTGCAAGTAGTAGTCCATCTGTGAATCTTGACAAATGCACCCTTTTAGAAAGAGCTAAAGCGCGCTGCCTGAATAGTCAATGCCAGGTCACATAGGTACAAGCCTCGGACAAATACTTTGGAGACGTCTATATTCGCGATATTGCACTTAGTCTTCTATATACTTTACGTTGGAAAGTTTCAAAGTAGGTATGCCAAGTCTATACCGCACAATCTGCACTATGGAAGAACTATATAATGGGGCCGGGCGCAGATGGTCCTATACGGCGGCCGAAAAGCCGACGGATCCGAGGTAATATGAGGCACGTTTGGGCATGGCAACGCAAACAAGTCCAACCATGCATGGTTCAACTTGAAAAGCCCAGCCGACTGACTCTCTGGAGAATGCAATTGGATCCCCCGGACCTCGAATGCAGCGGCCAGCTAGTGGCATGTGCATGAGGCCCCCCGAAACTTCTATGATGGAACATATGATTCCTCCGAAGAGTCGAGTTCATAAATATTTGATTCTGCACTGCCCTCTATATTGCAAAAGATTCCGGGGGCCTTAAGATCGGACTTGTATGTTGTAACGTAATATCATGGCAATAATCCCAATCATGCGGACACCAAGGACTCGATATGTACTTACGAGGCCCTAAAAATCTACACATTACAGGGCCCCCAGGGCCTGCATACTGTATACCGGTATGGTGAATTGCAATCATATATGATACAAGTAACAACACTGACTCATGTTGAACACTGAAAACTGCATGCCTAGCCGCTGAGCTGCCACATCACTTGGATCGTTCGAGAGCATGTGAGTGCTTCGCCGCCCCGTCAGAGGCTTAGTATGGACTCGGGAGTCTGGAGGCTAGCTAGACTCACCTTTTTGGCATGCCATTTTCTTGGCGTCCTTTGCGCTCCCTGTGTGTGCGCGAGCGGTCGCGTGTTATTGAAAATGGCGACAGCCGTAGAGTTGATCACAAAATAGGCGCTGTACGACGCCGCGATCGAGGGGGCGACCACAGGCCGAACTTCAGGGTACATACGTCGCTATTTTCCCTCTTAAGATCCTCGGTTTCTACCCCGCCCAAACCTTTCGCGTATCCGGATTTACTGGCCGTGGCTGTGAATGTGCTGTACGCTGTACGAATCGGTGTCCGTCAGATGGTCCTCGGTAATGCTCCCTGATATTTAGCACAGGGCCACTTACACAGATTTCCGTACAGCAAAATCTCAGATTTTGTCGTCTATCGTCCAACGGTACCCAGTCGGACCTCGTGTCGCAGGCCGTTCGATGGGTGTTTACGCGTTTGGTAAAATCTATATGACCGTCAGATGACATGCCGACCTGGTACTGGGCGTACGCTCGCTGTCGGAGTGTACGCGGTTGGAACTGGTGTCAACACTTTGTGAAATTTGGAGCTCAAGCCCTGGCCGTCGCACAGCATAATGCCTTCATCAACGGCTCGCATTCGGTCGTTTTAAATCAATCAAATGGCATGCCGAGTGCAGCGCAAAGTGCTGCCTTTCTAGTTCTCGATTCTCTCAGTCTGCCAGTGGCTCACGGGCGGCATTGGCCGCGGACTCCAGGTCAGAACTTGCGGATCACAATGCCCACAAAAAGCTCCTGCAAGATTTTCTTCGTGTTCCGAATTGCATGCAGAGCGCCACCTGGCAGCCACACATTGAGACACTGACCACATGGTTTTTTCGAGCATACGTCACGATTTGCGGGATTTGCTCGAATCCGGCTGATGTAAATTTCGAGCAGTGGATGTAGCCGGGGACAAGCCCGGTAGTTCACATCAGTCCATGTATCTTGTACCGGGTTCGAATCCTCAGAGAAAAAAAGCCCGGGGACTGTGACTGCTTAGCGAATTGCAGTCGGTGCTATTGGACCGGTTCTGACCTTTCAAGTTGGTCAATTTAGTACGTCACTCTACGGTACTCAACAGGGCGCGGCGCAATGCGCGCTACTCAGACTCAGAGTCTGCTCGAAGCACGAGCGTGAGTCTTCTTCGACGACGGAAGGGAAGGGCCCTGGCCCTGGGGAGCCTGTGCACACTGACAGGGTCTGAAGCAGTGAAGGGTCGCCAGCTCGTCGCATTGGTGTTGGCGTTTGCGTTGGCAGCATTGAAAGCCTGCAGCAGCAGGGCCGGGAGAAGCAAATGTTTGCTGTCTAAACTTCTGAAGAAGTTTTGCCTAAGTTCTCCCCGTTGGAAGCCTGCGGTGGTTGTTATATTACGGTGGCTAAGTTTTGCGGTTCGTGGGGTTCCAACGTGGAAGCCTTCGAGCGAGCCTCGTGCAAATCTAAGGGATGACAATGGTAGAGGGTGGCTTTCCAGATGGAAAGCAGCACATGTTTAGGTTATAGTTACCCTTGGAAAGTAGACCTCAAACATTTGTCACAGGCAGGAAGGTCGTGTTTGAGGATGGAGCTTCTTTTTGCCACCATTTGCCTCGTCATTGGCTTTGTTGTCGGCAGGATCTGGGAGAAAACAAGGAGGGCACCCAAGCTAAAGGGAGAAGCGGGCTCAGATTCTTCTAGGGCAACAGCTTTCGAGACCGAGTGTGACGTTACAGATTTGCAGAAGCTAAACGCAAAGCCCAACCAGAAAAGCTCTGACGTTGAGAAGCTGAAAGATGGTTGTGTGGAGAACAAGGACTTGCCAACAGAACTAGATGAGGGGGAGCATTTCCGGGTGGTCGGGAAGGATGAAGCTTCAGCATTGCTAGAAAGTCATCCAGATAGTTCAGCAGACTCAGCAGCACAAGCGCTTGAGGTTGAAGGGTCCGCTGTTGAGAACGTGAGAGAAGCGGCCCTTCTCACGTCATCGCTGACGTCAGCGTGCTCTAAGGATGGCAGCTCGGCATTGCTCCGAGCCTTAGAGAGCCTGTTGGAACGGGTTAAGCAGCCTGGTCTGTTTTGGGTCAGCGAAACCGGGGACGCACTGACCCGGCAGTACTCAAGTCCTGGCTGGAGGAAGCTGATGGGTTGCGATGGGGATGAGCACAGGCGGTGGCTGACAGAGGTACATGGCAATGATGTGGAGGAGTGCAAAAAGGTTAGTTAGCCCATCCTGAGGCCGTCAATCTTTTGTGCAGGTTTTAATATGAGTAACTCATTTGTGTCAGACGACTGGAGAAAAGTAGTTTGCTGTGTGAGGGGTAGGAATGTTTTTGAAGCAGACGTGTTTGTACTTCATCTCCGTATGAAGCTACATTCCCGCCATCAAAATGATATACGAGTGGGAAAAGGCAGCTTCAGTTGCAATAGTATCCAACGTTTGGCCCTGTCAAGCGAGTCTGCTTGTGGGGTTTGACTGCCACAATTGCAAAGTGCAAGAAAGACTGGTTCCAAGCTACAGTTCGGGCTACGGTGACTCCCTGAAAACCGGCCGGGCAGTATCATCATACGTGCATTCCACCTGACTGCCTGATCCAGATGTTTTGACTGAAACTATGGTCACAGGGTGTCGTTCCCGTTCCTGTCAGCAGGCACTGGCGTTCGCTGGCAGTTTGTGCTGAGCGCCTTTAAGGGGCCCGTTGAAAATGCAAGTCGTCCACATCTTTTTGAGTGGAAAGCCGCATTGTCAAGGTTACTGTGCCCAATATGCACCGCTCACCACCCAGTACTTGGTACTCCGCACTAGTTGGTACGATATCTGAGGGATGGGTGTTCGACTGGTCTATTGTTCCGCACTGTTATGATCAAGTGTTTTCCATTTCTCACTTTTACTCCTTTGTCAGGTGTTCTCTGGCATTCAGCCTGAACGCATTATTGCATCTGGCCATCAGCCTTGCGGTTTCACATTGCATTTGTCCTGCCACTTTCTTGATGGTTGGATCATGATTTTGACGTAGGTACAGGAAGTACTTGGTCCAACATCCTTCCTTATATCCATTTGCTTCTTCCACCTGAGTGACAGAGATCTAAGATTTGAAATGACCCTTTGCTCCTTGAAGGTCGCATAGTGCGGTTTCGGTCTCCTCACTTTTCAAATCAAGGAGGGATGTCAGACAAGAGGGACGATGAAAGCTTTTCAGAAGTACACAGGAAGTGGCAAAGTGTATGCGATATGACAGTCTTGATCCCCATCTGGCCTTCTTTGTAAGATGTTAGATGAGGTTATCGAAAATTTGAACCTCTGAAACACATGACATTCTTGGTTCAGTTGCAGGTTTGAGTTGGAAAACTCTAGGGTTTGGCAAGTTCTTTGTGCCGTCTGGCCCCTAACAACCAGTTATACTCTGTTCAGAGAGACCCACTGCTTTTCTTCAGGGTTGACTGCACTTCCAAAGCTTATGTAAAGGCGCACCAACAGAGTTTGCCGTGCTCTTCCTTGCCGTTGTAAGCAGCCTTTCAGAAAGGGTGGCATTGAGTAGGCAGCTTTGCTCATCATGATTGTCGGGGGAATCTTTTCACATTACTCAGGGGCGTACTCCGAAGGCTCTGCCAAAAGAGGAAGCCTAAGCCCCCTTTCCTGACACCTAAGAACTGCTCATCTGCACTGCAAACAAACAACATGCTTTTGATTTAAGAGCAACTATGATTGATAAGAGTAACAATGAGGGGAGAGAGACTCTTCTCTCTTCTTGTCAGGTACAAGAAATGCGTAGATTGACATAATATCAGGACCTTTACTTTTCTATGAAAACACCCCAGACTAAGTTCGCCCTCACTGTCTTCGTAGCATTGCAAATGAAGCAATGAAGAGCCGTCCCAAAAGTTCCTTTCCTCAGTTTTTGAGATGGAGCGCGTTTGATTGGACGGGGGGCAAGCCTTCACAAACCGCCCGAGGCACTTCACCTTGAGGTGTCACTCTAAGAAGTTTGTTGTCTTTCCAAGAAACAAGGTAGTCTCGTCCTCCCTCTTCAGGTATACCAGAAAGCTCACGAGGAAAAAGAGAGCTTTACGCATTACTACCGGTACAAGCTGTCCGGCGCGGATCCAGACCTGCCGGCTTCTTACCGGTGGTACGTCGAGCAGGGAAGCCCCCTCTTTGGATGCAATGGGGAGTACCTCGGACTGCTGGCCTGGGCGATTGACATCCATGAAGTCAAATCGATGCAGGTAAGAATGCAAACAGACTTCAAGAATGGTCTGATCAAGTAGACAAGCTGAAACGGTGGAAGGACTTGAGAGCGAAATGATGAGAGAGAACGTAAAGTGCGATTGGTACTGATTTGTCGTGCTTAATCAAGTTCTGTAACACAGATAAGACACACTTGCTTGGTTTTGGGGAGGAACAAGGACAAAAACAAAGCGGGAGAAGGACTTCCGGAGATTGGACCATGATACGAAGTGGACAAGTCGGGTCAACTAGTATCGCTCTTGCCTGAACACTCATCTGCACCCGATCAAGGTTGGACCGCATGCTTGGAGACGTTTTCACGCTCAATTTGACAGCTCAAAGAATCATTCAGTTGGTCTTAGAAGCTGAAGCCGGTTTCTAATGCATCTCTTTTTGCAGGTCGACTTTGAGCGGTTCAACCAGATGCCGGGGGACATGATCGTCAAGATCGACTACGAGGGGCACATCAAGAAGATGAACCCCACGATGCGCAAGATCTTTGAGTGAGCCTCCACATTCCTGCTGATTCCATCATCAGAAGCTGACAATCAACGAGTCACCATGTATCGAGATTAGTTGGGCACGGTGCTTGGGTCCGGTGCTTGGGTCCGACTACTAATACTGTCTCAAATCGACATATGGCTCATCTTTAAGGTAACAATGTGACCCCCTTGTTCAAAGGGGGCCTAAAAAGGGATTGTCACTGGGCGGTCGACAATGTCAGCATTGGTCATTGAGCAGCATTGGATGCTCGATGTCGGGAAACCGGACACATGTCCGCGACTTTAAAAGCACGATTCACACTGTGCAGTTGCTTTGCGGTGTCATGCTCGTGTACGCCCTTTGTAGACTAGATGACTCTGACTGCTTGAACGGGGCTTCTCATTGGGTCTCAGTACTTGCAAATAATGCACTGGGCATGCCAGAAAGTATGAATATCGTAACGAGGTTTCAGCACATTACTTTGGATAATCACTGAGGGGACTTCACCAGGACATTTCGGAACTTCTCCTGCGGAAAGTCACTAAGGGAACCATCAACACCTTGCCCTTGAACAAGATAGAGGTCATTGCGTCGGCATTCAGCTCATGTAACAATGCGCCTGGCCTGGCCTGCAGAATGACGGAAGAGGAGATGAGTTCGAGGGAGTTCTTCACGTTCCTACACCCGGTATGCTTTTCGATTCTCTTTCCACATTGCAACCACCGTGTGAACATTTTCCGCTCCAATGGTTGTAAGCCGTCAGGTTCCTGTAAGGAACCCGCTTGACCAGCTTTCCTGTGGTTCTTGACAAACCCTCCAACGAGCGCTCTTCCGTCCCTCCGCAAAATCAACTTCAAAGGCCTAACTGCTTGAAGTAGAAAGCTTGTTCCGAAGGTAGTCTGTTCTTGATTGGTGAACGTTCGACTTGAAATGCATGCGGCCTTCAGAGAGGGTGGCAAAGAGATGTCAGCTCTAAACCAGGAATCTTCCGATTCTGTTTCTCAACATCAGTCAAAGGCTGGGCAAGTGCGCTTCTAGCAGTTCCTTCCTGGCAGCTGCTTGTAAGGTCAAATAAGAAAGCTCCGTAACTTTACTCGTGCAAGTTCTGCGTGAGAGCCAAATCTTTGTCGTTCTCAGCGTTTGAATTGCTGCTTCAGACAAGGTCGGACCCTTCTCTGTTTTGCTGATCCACTTCCCAAGTTTCCCCCCCCCCCTTAATCATCCCTTCAAGAAATGCTCGTCGGTAGACGCTTCCCATATGTACCAGTCTGATGTGCACCGTAAGTGAACCCTCACCGTTTTCAGCTGATGTCACATCTTGACTTCAGTCTGTCACATCTTGACTTCATTCCCTTTCCTGTACTGCAGGACGATGTGGAGCGCACCCAGGTGTTCTGGCAAATGCTGCTCGACAATCTTCCTATTGACAACTGTGAGAACAGGTGAGTGGGACCCTTTGTTGATCTTGATTTTGGTATTTGCTACGAGTGCTGCATCTGTAAGATGATCACTGAAGATGACCCAGGAAACAAGTCGCTGACACTTCTACAAGAATGCGGTTGTCAACAAATCAGCAGTATGGCGCGAAGGCCTTTCATATTCAGATTGCTATGAGGGAGTCGTTTTCGCTTCTGCAGTCCGTCGCGTTTAAGGCACAGGTCGAGCAAGGATAGAAGCATGCACGTTGTAGATTCCGGCATATTATTCTGTTTGTTGTTCCTTGTCTGTTGCCTGTTGCACAGCCTTGTATTTTGCAGTTTGGAAGTCCAATTTGCCTGTCGGAACAGTAACGGTCCCGACGTTATGTACTCACCTTAGCCCGATGCTTCGATATGGGCCTTTCATGACGTAGATCATGTCCGTAAATCGATCGCCCCGCGTCGTCTTCTGTCTTGGCAGGTACCGAAAAGGGGACGGCTCCTACTTCTGGGTTGGCTGGACGGCAATCCCGTTGCCGCAGGACAAGACTGTGTACGCAATCGGCAGAGGTGAGCCGCGCAGCGCCTGGAGCGTCTGAAAAGTGTAACCCTTTCCATGCTGACAGGATTGTGTCCGCAAGTGTCGTTAGGACACCAAATTCCCAGGGCCTTTTGGGCACGACCTGTGTCTGCAGCGGTTAAAAATCCTGGAAGGGACAGATCAGGCAAACGACTGAGCGGGACGTTCCATTGAATCCCCCATTGAATCCCATTCTGCAGCCTCCAGACACAGTCTCCAATTTTCAAGATCCTGTTTTCCCCAAGATTCTGAAGCGGTCCCATGGCGCAAGGCTTTTCTTCCGCTGACGGCAGACACCAGGAACCATCTCGTCCTTCAATGCTTTTGAGTTTGCTTTCAAGGACGCACCGAGGGTGTTTTGCTCCTCTTGCTCAGGATCTGAAACGCAGCATCACCTAACACTCGCCAGCTCGCTGGAAAACTTGGGTTTTAGAGATGAGCGACCACAATGCCTGGTCATCTGGTTTTCCACACGCCGGAAAACGATGCGTCTTCCTCCGGAAGCTGTTTAATTTGGCGTAGGCCATGCGTGGACATATCGCGACACTCTGGAAACGGTTCTCGTCATGGTTGTGACGCAACTATTTCAGCAGCTACACGAAGTCTTAACGCCTATAGGAAGGACTTCTTGGTCTTTATCTGTTGTTCCTTGTTTCCTTCACAGATATTTCAAAGCAGAAGGAGACGGAACAGGCGCTCAAAGAATCGGAGGCGGCCCTGCTGGCGTACCGGAAGGAGTTCCAACAGATTGCGGACCTGTCGCCGGCGATCGTTTTCAAGCGCCAGGTGAGAGCAAGAAACCTGATGAACTTTGTGAGACGATTGTGAAGATGGGGTCGCGGGATACAAGACTTTATGATCATCAAGTCAGGAAGGAGTTCCAACAGATTGCTGACGTGTCGCTGGCGATCGTTTTCAAGCGCCAGGTGAGAAAAGAGAACGAGAGAAACTCTGTGTAAAAAGCGTGGAGACGGGGCGGCGGGATATAAGAACCGTCATGGGTACCAGCTGGCACCGGTGGATTGGGTGGAGTCTTAGTAGAGCCTGATAGAGGCAGGTCTATTACGGAAAGCAAGCGGTTCTTATCCATAATCGTGGTATCTAGATGTCCGTCCATGTGCGCCCATTTTTTGAGTTGACAAGGAGTCAAGCTGTGAGCAACTTACAGGGCTTGGGATCGTACGTTTTCTAAGCTACGTGCATGATGTGGTACGAGCAACGATTGTTTGACCATCATTGATCACGTATAGGTCCTTGCGGATTGAAAGGGAGACATTTCTATTCATCAGCAAAGCCTTTGAGCAGCTGGCCGGAGTTATCATGAAGCGTTTAGGTGTGGCCGTTTCATGTAGTACCAGAAACGACCGCTTGACCGATGTCGTACAGGTTCTGGCGGACGGAAGGGAGACGTTCCCGTTCATCAGCAAAGCCGTGGAGCAGTTGGCCGGGATCACCGTAGAGGAGATTCAGGCGGATCCGGCGCAAGCCTGGGTGAATGTCGCACCAGAGGACCAGCTTCGCATGAAGGCTGCGGTAAGTCTCGCAAAACGTACTCTGGTGTTCCTCCTCTTTCCCGCTCTGCTTCTCTTGTCGTCCATCTTCATTTTCTTCGGGTTTCGACCAATTATCTTCTCGAACCTCAGACATGGCCTGGAGAAACGCTCAACGGAACAATGGCGTTTGTAATTGCGTTCAACCGAATATTGTTTCTCGGTTTCATCTTTTCGCTTGCTATCTTACAGAGAGTCCTTGGCATGGCCCGGTTGCTCCATTCAACCCTCAGGTCCTCAATCCTGAAAACGTTTCACTAAGCTGCAACTCGAGCTGGGTTATACAACGACACAGCATGAAAAGCCTGCCTCACGAGTGTCTCGCTTTCGGAGCATTAACGGGACATTCCGCAGTGAAACCGTGAAATCAACGACTCTCCTCCACGCGGCAGTTTGACCAGAGCGAACAGACGCTCGAGTCCGCCCACGTGGACTTTCAGACCACGCACGCCCAGACAGGGAAGAAGCTGTACATGCGGGTCCACGTGGTTCCTCAGCCGGCGGCAGAGGACGGCTCCAGATCAATGTGAGAATGTTAGGGTTTGTCTCTACGCCCTTCGGGTTTCAAGGGTTTATTTATGAGCGCGCCTTGAACAGTGAAGGGCACACCCAGACGCGAGAAAGTGTGTACATGCACGACAACGTGGGTTCGTATAATTCGAAGATAAGAGAAATTGGGTTTTGTGATTCGTAGCGAAGATCAGTTCGTAGACTTGTCGCCAAGGGGAGCCCAGCAAAGTTGACCTCTACGTGAGAGTGCGGAGCATGCAATGGTGGCCGTCAAACAATAGAATTTGAAGTTATGCGCTCGTCATATCCGAACTCAATGCCGGAGTTTGAAGCAGGAGGACGTTCTTCGGGGCGCTGCAATTCATCTGCAATTCGACTTGAGGATATACTTTCTGCAAATGTAGGTATGGCGTCGTCAATTCGATCACGGACCTGCTTGAGTCGGAGATTGAGTTGCGGAAAGCGCGGGACGCGGCTGAGGAAGCGAAGAAAGAGGCGGAGGCCGCGGCCAACGCAAAGAGCTTCTTCCTGGCCAACATGAGCCACGAGATCCGAACGGTAAGGAGTTTGAAAGTTCAAGCCGTGTCAGGTTGCGTGGATCTTGTTTCTGATCACATGAGCCACGAGATCCCTGTTGAAAGGAGTCTTTTAGGAGTTCCAGAGGGTTATTTCTCTGTCGAAGGTCGTAAAGGACATGGCAAAGAGTTATCGCAGGAGTTTTCTCCAACATGAGCCACGAGACTCGGACGGCAAGACCCTTTAGCCACTGCTATCTTTCATGGTGGACTTTCGTGGTATTGAGCCTCGACACTCTTATGTTGTCCCTGTGCAAATACTAAAATCGACGAGGGGCAGCTCGACTACGCAGGAACGACCAACTTCGTCGTTCTCTTGGTAACATGGTAATTGCTTCCGCTGACGGCGTCGTTTGTTTTCTTCCAGCTATTGAACGCCCTCAGCACAATGACACGGTCGATGTTCGTCTCTTTCTTGCTGACGTCGTGGTTGTGTTTTGCTGACATCATTTTCTCTTCATTTCCAGCCATTGAACGCCGTTATTGGGATGGGCGGACTTTTGCTGGACACGAAATTGGACGAGGAGCAGCACGACTTATCAACGACAACTAAATGCGTCGCTCTCTTGCTGACGTGGCAATTGCTTCCGCTGACGTCATTTTCTCTCATCTTCCAGCCGTTGAACGCCGTCATTGGGATGGGCGGCCTTTTGCTGGACACGAAACTGGACGAGGAGCAGCACGACTACGCGACGACGATCAAGAGCAGCTCCGAGGCGCTGCTCTGCATCATCAACGACATTTTGGACTACTCCAAGATTGATGCGGGTGCGTATATATCTTCGTTAATGTCCGGTTCGTGAAATGCTTTCTGCTATCGGTTGACAAAGGATTCTGATGGGAGCAGCTCCGGGCATTCTCTTGTGCATCCAAACGAGAAATTGGAATGATTCAAAACGAACGCCTTGACGTGGTTTGTTGAGCTCTTCAAGACGTTATATGGTTCGCGATGCTGGAGGGACGCGAGAAAAGCAGCTATGATCGCTCATGTGCTTGGTCAGATGGTATTGTGGACTACTCCCAAGATTGACGTGGGTATCTAGAGCTTGTTAAGAACCTCTATGACGATGTCGTCACTATCTCCGACGGCGTCACGAGTCTACGGTTAATTTTTGTCCTGGAATATGTGTGCGAGTCCTGGCACTGTGCGATCGAGTTTGTCCAAGGCTGGCTTACGCCTATTTCAAGATGCCCTTCAGTTCCTCAGCTTAGATCAAACTGTGTTCCCGCAGGCACGGTGGATTCAACATTAGAGCAATCCAACTTGTGGCGCACGCTCTAAGATTTCAAACTTTTTTTCTGCTGAGAGACAAACTGACAACCACCTTGCATTCATGCCTTTTACGAGTGAAAGCAAATCCTTTAACACGTTTCACTGCCTAGTTTAGACCGGGAATCTCGTTTCGCTTCTTTGCAGGCAAGATGGAGTTAACACTGGAGCAGTTTAACCTGCGGCGCACGCTCGAGGACTCCATCGACCTGATCGCGCCGCTTGCCGCCGACAAGGGACTCGAGCTGGCGTACTCTTTGAGCCCCGACGTCCCTGAGTTGGTGATTGGGGACATGCAACGAGTCCGACAAGTGCTGATGAATCTGCTCAGCAATGCAGGTAAGGAATACAGCAGACTATTGGTGAAGTGCTTACAAATCTCCCCTTCCGTGTCTAAATCTTCCCGCAGTTTTCGTTAACTGGTGGTCAAATTTTGAAACTCTTCCCAAGTCCCGACGTCCCTGAGTTGGTCATTGGCGACATGAAGCGAGTCTGATGAATCTCCTCAGCACTTTAGGTAAGCATTACAGCGTCTTATCTGATAAACATTCCGTGTGTATCAAACTATTGGCAATGTAAGATTCTGGATCATAATGGAATCCAGGGTCTTGGAGCTAGTGGGAACACGCAGCGTGTCTGATAAGCGCAATGTCAACGTGGGTGACTGATTCGGTTTTCTGCTTGGATAAATAGACGTGGTGTCTCTTGAGCTGAGCTGTCGAATGTATTCCGAACTAGAGAAGGCAATAAGTGCGGTCCTGTCCTCTCTTTCTTTTTTCTTTCTTTTGCACTTTTTGACAAGTCGCCGTTTGATCGTTTGTTGCAAGCGATGATTTCGCTTGACGTAGAGAACGGGAGCGGTTCGAAAAGCTTTATCCTTAGCTCCGTTAGGCACATGTATATCCGCGCGCCACCATAAACATCCAAGCTACACCAATTCTTTGGCCTTGGTGGTCTTGGTCCCGCTTCAAGAATTACTGACGACCCACTTCCTTGTTTCGCACCTGCAGTCAAATTTACGGATGCGGGAGAGGTCTTTGTCTTTGTGGACAAGCGGCCCAACGTCGAGGGTTTGCAAGCGGGGGAGATCGAACTGACATTCAAGGTACAAGATACAGGTACGTACAACGTTGCCCGTCTTCTAAACATACGCTGTCGGATCTTTGATCAATACTCGCCGTTCCTGTTGCGATCTTCATGCTTTCCGTAGATTGGTGTTCAAAAGAATCTGTCTTTCTTGCCTTGTAAAACAGTCTGAAGCTTTGGAAGGTTTCAGCTATGGACACCCAGCCAGGTTGATCATTTCTGTCCGTCTCAGCTCCCGATCTTCCATGGAGCTGAAGGACCTGCAGTTTGTTGTTCTCTTTCTCGTTTCTTTGATGGCAGGCACCATTTTCGCGGCCGAATCCTGCCATGTCACCAAAACCTGAGGTGTTATACGCTTGTTCTGTGAGAAACATTTTCGACAGCACCGCGCCCCCCATTGCCACGCATCTGCCTCTCCTCCCCGGCAAAGTGGCGCGCTGCCGGTCATCCTTTTCCATCGAGCAAGGCTAACAGATGCACTTTTTCTTGACCATTTCTTTAGTCACGTCCGCTTCTCACCACCCGGGAGCTGCCGACGTCACCCATCTCCAAAAAGGTATCGGTCTCCCGCAAAACCGCAAGGTTTTGCGGCTCTTCTCACAGTTTGACGACGCAAAAGCCCTTCTTCTTCTATGTCAACTCTTTGTCTCGTAGAAGCCGCTGACGTTACCGGCCCCCCATGCAGGTATTGGCATTCCGCCTGACCGCAAAACGGCCCTCTTCCGGCCCTTCTCACAACTCGACGACGCGAAAAACCGGCGGTGGGGGGGAACTGGTTTGGGGCTTGCAATCTGCGCCCAACTGGTGAAGCTCCTGGGAGGGACGATTGGAGTCGACAGCAACAGAGCGAACGGGGGAAAGGGCTCGGAGTTTCACTTCAGTATACGTGCACAAACTTGTGAGCATAACATTCTTGTCCAAAGACTCCTTTGATGCCTCCGCTGACTAACAAGTTTATCTCTGATTGAGAAGCGGAGGATTCGGTAGCTGCGTGAGAGGGCTTTGCTGTCTCCTAAGCATGCGCATTCAAAACTGTGATAGCCGACAGGTTCAGAAGGTTGCGTGCTTGCTAGATTTGACTATCTCTTCGAGACCACGTCCCCCGCCACCTCCGGTCTGCCTGGTGCCTTATCCGACCACTCCTGCCCCCCCCAAACTAGCACGGCGAGGCTCCCGGTTGGCCGCCGCGGTCGGTAACAGCAGGTCGAAACATCAGTCCTTGCTTCCGGAAGTCCTTCTGTACAAAGTCGTTTCGTGCTGACTGAGATCAATGCTCTATTTCTGCCCAGATCTCCAGTCCCCTCCGGTCTTCCTGACGCCCCAACCCAACCACTCGCCAAGGCCCCCGTTAGACTAACATAGTTTGTCATGTCGACCTGCCGTACTAAAGGGATTGTTTTAGGGTTTCAGGAACTCGTGAAATCTAGGGTTGTATTCTCCTTCTTGCAGGTCTCCAACCCCCTCGGGTCTCCCTCATGCCTCCTCCTGACCACTGCGGCACCCTTTACTCGCACGGCCAAGGCTCTCAGTGGGCTGCCCTGATCGTTTCCGCCATGAGAAAGCCATCACGTAACCCAAAGCTCGTTCTGTTCACACCCCTTTTGTGGTGACAGAATTGACTTCTCACTCCTCGACCAGGTCCCAAACCCCCCTGGGTTTCCTTGATGCCTCACCCCGACCACTCTCGCACCATTAATCCTTACGGTCAAGGCTCTCGGTGGACCGTCTACAGCGATGAGAAGATCATCCCGTAACCCTGACCTCCTTCTGTTCAGACCCGTTTTGTGGTGACTGAATTGGTTTCTCTCCTCGACCAGGTCCCCAGCCCCCTCCAGTCTCCTGGATGTCTCACCCTGACCACTCGGGCACCCCCAACTCTCATAGCCAAGGCTCCCAGTGGGACACATTAACCTTTAAAACCAAGATTAAATAAGGTGTTCTATATATTCTCCTTTTAAAAGAGACCCAATCCCCGACTTCCTTGCAGGTCCCCAGCCCCCTCGGGTCCCTCTGATGTCTTCCCTCGACCACTCCCGCGCCTCCGAGTCCCCCGGCCAAGGCTCCCGGTGGGCCGCCTTGATCGTATACAGCAACCCGACCGCTCGGCGCATTCTGTCGGCGCAGCTCCACCAGTGGGGAATGCGGGCGACAGCTGTCAGCAGCGCGGTCGAAGCGGTGGATCTGATCCGCGAGGGCACGCACCAGTTCAACATCGCGTTGCTGGACCATCGACTACAAGGTGGGTGGTTTTGGCTTTCTCACCCTTGACTTGTGTCGCATGTGTAACGAGTCCGGCGAATGTTTGGCTGGCCCGTCTGGCAATATGTCGCCTAGTCTCCTTGCTCGATTCCGATTTCAAGGGATCTGATTCGCGAGGGGGCGCACCAGTTCAGCATCGCGTTGCTGGACCATCGATTGCAAGGCGCGTCGTCCACGGCGCAGGACCCGTCTAGTGGAAAAAGGATTTCTCGGAAGTTCGGCTAGCCCCCGAAAGATTGTCGCCGCAAAGAGTTTCTAGACCTAGTTCGTGGTGGATCCAATCGAGAGGAAGCAGCACTTTGCGCTAGATTCGGTTGTAAGGGGGGACGCATCAATCGATGATGGAATACAGGCCGCAACCGAGGGAGGCTGTCTTTGCCAATTGTGAAGTGGCTACCACAGCGTCAAACCATTTGTGCAATGTGCAACACGTCGCCGCTGGTCGTCCTGACGTCTTTTGACGTCACTCGATTATCCACCTCCGACTGAACGAACCTAGGTGCTAATCAGCCGAGGTTTGCTTGTACCAGGTACAATTGGGCTTGCGTGCGCCCAGTTGATTCAAGGAGACCAGCGCGCTTCGCACCTACTGCTGGTCCTGCCGACGTCGTTTGACGTCATCCACTCTACTCACCCTTTTCGACTGAGTTAACCCGGAAGTTAACCAGCTGAGGTTTGCTTGTACCAGGTACGAACGGGCTGGCGTGCGCCCAGTTGATCCAGAGGGAGCAGCGCGCCTCGCACCTGCCGCTCGTCCTGCTGACGTCGATCGGGAGGCGGCCGACGTCAGAGAGCATGGGCATGACCGCGACGGACACTCACTTTGTGGCGTGCATCAGCAAGCCGGTGAAAGCGCAGCAGCTGCGTGACGTCATCGTCAAAGTGTGCGGAGCAAAGGGAAACGGGGTGGGTATCTGAACTTCTTCTTTCCCATATCTCTGTTTTTTCGCCGGCTGTTGCACCCTTGTGTCTGCCCTTTCTTACAACGTCCGAGGGCCGGAGCGAAGCAAACAACTTCCGATAATGTTGAAGTGTGTGAAGCCAAGATCTGGAAGTAAGAAGCTCCTTCAGAGCGAAGTACTGTCTGCCAACCAAACAAGGAAGCAGAATCAGGTTCCGGGCGTCAGTTTTTAAAGGCTTCCCCTTTTGTCTTCGATTCCGCGAACGGCAGACGCTGTGCCACGACACGCGCTTCCCAAGCATTTTTCTAAAAGCATGTCCGCTAATACTTCTGGTGGGAACTCGAAAGTGACCTGAACGCTGAATCAATACCAAAAGCAGAGAACTCTCTCGAGTTAGGTGTTAGTTGGAGAGCACTGCAAGCCACAATTCTTTGAGGATCAAGCATTGATTGCTTTTTGATTTGCTCGGCTAGGCGAGCGGCAAGCTGGGCCATGTTACACGATCACCCAGCATGTCTGCAAAGACGTACCCGCTAAAGCACTGGTGGCCAAAGATCTATAAGCTAATGAAGCCCAACCCAGAAAAGTTTCCACTCTTAAGCACAACTGAAGCCGAATCTTTTTGAAGATCAAGCTCTAAAAGCGTGTCATTCTTCTTCCCCCAGGCGAGCGGCAAGCTGGGCCACGTAACGCGCACGTCCAGCATGTCGGCAAAGACGTACCCTCTGAAACAAATGCTGGCGGGCTGTCAATAACTAGACACCTGATAGACCCTTAAACTGGGAAACTTCAACGAAAGTCAACCACTTGTTTAAGAACAACTGAAACCAGATTTTGGAATGTCAGGTTCTAAACTTAACTCTACTTTCCGCCAGGCGAGCGGGAAGCTGGGCCACGTAACGCGCACGCCCAGCATGTCTGCAAAGACGTACCCGCTAAAGCACTGATGGCCAATGATCTATAAGCTAGTGAAGCCCAACCCAGAAAGGTTTCCGCGCTTAAGCACAACTGAAGCCGATTTTTTTGGAAATTCAAGCTCAAAAAGCCTGTCATTTTTCTTTCCCCAGGCGAGCGGCAAACTGGGCCATATAACGCGCACGCCCAGCATGTCTGCGAAAACGTACCCACTGAAACTACTGGTAGCGGAGGACAATTCGGTGAACGTGAAGGTCGTGCTGAGGCTGCTCAGCCGGTTAGGGTACACGGCGGATGTCGCGACAAACGGGAAGGAGGCGCTCGAGATGGCGCAGCGCACAGCGTAAGACAATCAGAACTCTGAAACTCCTTCGAGACATGGGAGCTCGAGGTTGGAAGTCTCGTAAACCTTCTTACCGCTGCCAATCCGATGTTTCGCCTTTCTTAATTCCGTGCTAGAGGCTTTGGATGAGAACCTGCTCAAAACTAAGACCCTAGGTCCTGCCTGGTGTTGCTCTTCAGGTCGATATGACTTTTTCTACCCGCTTTGACGCAAGTACGACGCCATCCATGACGTCCGCTGTCGGACGTGGACGGCTTTTAGTCCACTTTGAGCGAAGCGCCGAAACGAAACTTCTATCCACATTCCAAAACGCATTGATGTCCTGACATGAGTCGATCTGACGACTATAAACTGGTGCTGACGCAGGTATGACGTCATCCTGTGCGACGTCCACATGCCGGAGATGGACGGCTTGGAGGCCGCGGCGCGCATCAAGCAGACGTGCCGGCCGGCACCCACGATCGTGGCGGTAACGGCCGCGGCGTTGCAGGAGGAGCGGCAACAATGCCTTAATGCGGGCATGGACTTGTGAGCACCCATCGCAGTCTTTGTTCATATCTTATTCTCGGGAAGACGTGTTTAAATATTGGTTCGAAGTTGCAAGAAGCGGGCTTTGCGGGCGGATTGTCTATATTGACCGCGAGCGTTGAGCACGAAGCTTTGATCCACTTTTTTTGGTTCGGCTTCCTTCGACACCAGAGACGTCGTACGTTCTCACTGATTGTTAATGTTCCTTCGCAGTTCTTCGTCAGGCTAGATTCCAACTGATTGCCAATCCGGATGAAAAGTCCTGGTCGGAGGGACACTTTTACTGATGGTATAAATGTGGTCAGGTACATATCGAAACCAATTCAGGCGGAGGCATTGGCGAAGGCGTTGGTCACAGGGTGGGAGATCCAACACAAACAGTCGAAGGCAGTTGCGCAGTGACGTAAGCAGAGGTACAATCGAACCCGCACGCAGTACTCACGTTCAGTTGACAGTTGCGCGCTAGTCAAATATGAGTAGCCTGACCTTTTGAGTTGCTGGCTCTGACAGAAGTAATTTGCAAGTTCAGCCGCATGTCTGGCGCTACTGAATCCCAATAAACGAATGATGTTAATCTGGAGCAAGTTGACTTGTTCGGATTTGGCCGTGCATCTTCATGTAGGTCGCGAGCCGCCGAGCCATGCGGCGCTAGATCCGACTTAGCTTCATTCACGTGTAATCATTTGTAGAAAACCCTGAGGAGTATTGAACAACATCCTCTGTTTGAGTCAAAAGTACTTAGTAGGATCCTCAGCTAGCCTCTAGTAAACATGAGTTGCAGATTGAGTCTTGCAGGGCCCTCTGCGTGACGAAGCTTGACACTTTGGGTTGTGGGTCAAGATAAGTTTCTAAAGGTTCCACATGCAAGCGCATGTCACATCCTTTGCCTTCAAGGTCCTTATTTAAGCGGACCACGTAAAGTCTAGTACGTAGCGCAATTCTGCGGATGGGAGGTACGCTTGACATGTCCCTAGCTTTCAATGCAAAACCTGAGTAGTATACAAGGTACAGATTAGCTACACCCCACCACGCCTATAGTGGATCGTAAATCCCGGTGCCAGCGTATGGCCCCCTCACTTGCATAAACTTCACCGAAACGCTACAACGTTATGAGTCGCATCTCGTTTTGAACCCGGAACAAGTGACTGTCGAACGACTTGATCCGGCGTGACAATAAGCCTAGTAGCCTGCTGACCAGCTGCGGCCTATAGCCTGCGGCCTATAGGCGTGCAAGTTCATTGCGGCGCCGCCCACGTTGACGTGATCGGACAGCTAGCCTAGCTACGTTCAGTAAAATCCAGAGATCCGACTTGCATATGGAAGCAATGGCATTAACGTGCGATCATAAGTGACAACGTAGCCTCAGTATCATAGTATGCAAGTTGAAGCCCTATATATGGTGAGTCCGATCCGGATCTAAACTATAGATGCATGGACGGTCCGCGCTACGTACCATGAGCTCGTCATTGGCGCCCCCTGTGCTCGTCACACCGGACTCGTCATTCATTCATTGACTCACAGTGAATCATTCATTGAATAGGTCTATAGCTCTGCAGCTAGTTAGCTTTAGCACAGTATATCGTCGGTGCACCGGACACCCAACTGTCGATTGGATCTGGACCGGACGTACTGACAAACATTTTTCAGGTCGCGATCTATTCAACTTTTCTAGCTAAACACTTATAGGCGGCTATTGGTTCACGAATCGAAAGTTCCTAAGTCACCTAGTAATCATCAAATCACTGAGTAATACATGAATATATTCGTCATTGAATCAGCTCATGCATCCAGTTCTGTAATTAGCCATGGCAATCATTGATCCGGTTGTAAATTTGCAAGGTTCAAATGTCAATATATCGTGGGTTTAAGTTACGTGTTACTTTAAGTACCAATCATCACTCCGGACGTACGGTTCGACGTGACTAGCTCTCTTGCGAGCCTGGGCCGTCATGTATGCAAAAGGTTAAGCGCGGTGTGACTTATACTGCGTCGGATTGAAAATTAAGTGTGACGTATACTGCTTGCTCGAATTAGTGCATGGTCAACAACTGTACTACTCTGATCCATATGCGATTGAAAATGATGTCGTACGTAGCTAGCTCCGAGCATAATTGCATGCCGCATGGCCGGTCCGTCGATCCGACGCAATTGATTGCCAGTTGTATATCGGAGAGTTTCCAAGTCCGGTCGCCCAATGATCCTCCAATTGCCAGGACAATCACTCAGGCGAACATCACGCCACTGAGCCTGCAAGAAATACCTTGTTGCGTGTTCGATAACGAACTACAAAGAACGCTTGATCATTTCAAAATTGTACGGGGTCCACAAACATGCTTTGCACTACACCGGGCAGCTTTTGAAATCATGAGCATACTTCTTTCCAACTCGGTGTAAATGCCTCACTGAGTGATGACCCGAGCCCGTCCTGCGCTGCGCTACCACATGTCTTTGAAAGGAATCATGACGTCGCTACCGTCCCAACATGACTATTTACCGTCGTAGTATAACGAATGATGCCGCTAACTGTCACTGCTCTAGCCGCTCATTTTGACCAAGTCTCCCGTTACCGTTGACTTTGACGCCGCTAGCTGAAAATGCAGGGCTTTCTCTACAACAAGGCAACACCTGACACATACCGCCCATTGTACAAGTTATCATGTACGACACCTCGAAAAATAGCAATGCAGCTAAGCTTTTCTCAAACGTAATCAAAACAGCAATGCAGCTACTGTGAGCATTTCTTAAACGACAGAGTAAGTTGACCACAATCTCAAGATCGCTTAGGGGGACGCCTCGCTAAAGTTGTGTCCCCAGGTCGACCAGCTCGGAAGTTGGCATCCCGCCACGCTTGACGGGTCGTAAACCGTTGCCGTAACCTCTTCCAACGCGCGCGCCTGCGGCGCCTCACTCCCTTCGCCCACCGCAGGGGCGCTCGTATCCAGCTGCCAATCCATGCCCTGGGCCCCGTTGTGACCCCGCGAGTGAGGCGGCGCCGCCGCCTCTAGTTGGTCCACATCCAAAGGTCCCCACCCCTCCCCCCTAAACCGGCCCTTGAAAACCCCCCCGCCATCGCTCCTCTCTACCGGTTCCCCGTCCCACGAAGCGCCTCTCAAAGGGTCTCTTCCATCCCCAACCTCGAGCCCAATCTCCGCGCCGAACTGCCCGCCGACGTGCGGCTCACGTTGCGCCACGTGGCGCGTCCCTTGCGCGATGCTAGCGCCTCCGGGGGAGCAGTCCGAGTAGCTCCTGCTATGGTGGGGCTCGGCCGGGGAGCCCTTTCTCAACACGTTGCCCTCGGTACCAGGACCGGGGGGGTGGTCCCCGGTCAAAGTCGACAGAAAATGGACCGCAGCTTTCATTTGGAGGTGCGCCCGGTGCAACTGGCGCAGATCCTCCGGGCTCATTTCGCTCGGTTGATCCACCCCGGCCTTTTCCAGCTGAAGCGCTTGCGCCTCCAGGAGCACATTCAAGTGCTCCGTTACGAGCGTCGTCAACTTGGCCGTCGCATAGTCGCTCGAGTTCCCACCCCCACGTGGCGGCGACGGGTTCCCGCCACGTGGCATCTTAGCGTCACCTTTCTCCGCCCGGTTGTGTCCCCCCGCACCAAGCCCGGGACTCAGTCGCGCGCTATTATAGGACTCGAAGGCGCGCCCTCCAGGGCTTTGAGCAAAGCCCGGGGAAGCAAACCCCTGCCCCAATGAGAACTGATTCCCGCCGGCAAACCCGAATTTGGACTTGGCGCCAGGGGTGTGAACAGACTCCTCGGTCTCTCGACCCCAGGCTATGTGCCCCCGCAAATCGCGCCCGTACATCTCGCGCATTGCTTCCAGGGTCTCAGCAAGCGGGCGCTGGATCTCCGGTCCCGCGCCGACGTGAGCATCCGCCCCCTCGAAAGATTCCGCCCCTTTGAAAGATTCTGTCCGGTTGGCCCCCTTCGGCGAGCGGAACCGCTTCTCGTCGCCGCTTCCACCCCCCCACGACTGGGGTTTCCGTTTCCTGGCCTCCCCTGAGATCGTCAGGTCCGAGAGGTTGAACGCACCAAGACCCGGAAACGGTGACTCTTCGACAGAGGACGCAACGCATGGCAGGTCTATAGAAGCGTACCGCCGCAACGAGGGAGCGATGTGTGCTCGGGGGGCTGGAACCGAGGTTCGCCGAAAGAGGGGGGGCGCGAATAACCCGGATCGTCCTAGGGGGACAGTTTCGATGGGATCCGAAAAGGCGGTCTGGTGCTCCGACGGATTCGGAGATATCCCGCGAGAGTGCGACGGGAGCCCGCCACACCGAGCCGCCTGCCCCCCCGAAAAGTCGAGCTGAAACGCGCCGAGGATCCCGCCAACCGGGCCCTCCTGACCAAGCCCGGCCAACCCCGGCGACTCTGAGAAGCTCGCTAGCGGGTTGTTTGAGAGCTCCTCCGTGGTCAAAGGCCCCCCTCTCATTCGGGAGACTCCCCCGGCACGTGTTTCCCGCCCCGCAGTCCCGTGTTTCTGCGACAGGGCCACCCACTCCTTGACCCAGTCAAAGGTGGAACCCTCCGGGCGCTCGGCGCTGCCCCTATTTGCGCCGGAACCGCCCATTTCGTCCCCAGCGCTCAGGCTTTCTTCAAAGGAAGACGCGTTTTGCGAACCGGCTGTTGCAGAAGACCTCGGAGAGTTTTCGGAGGCGGTCTTGGGGGGGGACTTGGGCCCGAGTTGGCGCCCCCCTAGGCGGGGCAGCGGATCCAGCGGGAACCTCTTCGAGGGGAGGGTGACGTCAGCAGCCAGAAACGCGGGAACGGGCGAAGCGCTCGTCCCTTGCTGCGCCAGCCCGGCGGACTCCACCCCCCGGGGCGAGATGACGTCAGCCCCCAGGTTAGCGCCCAGGTTACTTGAACGGTCACCGCCCAAACTCCCGTAGCTGTCAACGCGCTTTTCACCTAACCCACGTAGGATTGTGGTTGAACCCGGTAGAAGACGCCTCGAGGGCCGTTCCCCGGCAAGAGTGCCCGGTTTGTGACCCCCCTCGGAGGTGGTCGGAGATGTTCCGTCCGTCGGTTCGGAAGAGCCGCCACGGAATTCCGGCGCGATGGAGACGATCCGCTCGCCGTCGATCTCCAGACCGTACTGACGGAGGAGGGACGCGGCGGGGGGGGAAGCGTCACGCTGCGAAAGGGGGCGGAAGTATTAGTTACATATACAACACGGCGACCGATGCCCCGTGAGCTCACCTCTTCAGTCGCTCGTAAACGAAACGTGGCTCAAATCTGCAGTGACCAGAAGTCAACGACTGTGTTCCGCCTGTTTTCCTCAAGAAGAAGCCGAGAGAGCAAGCAATTGGAGGAAAAATGGATGATGCACTTTGGGAAGGATGGAAGCCGGCGAGAATGGCTGAAGTTTCGAGACCGACGATGGTTTCTTTCGATTGCACCACAGTCGTACGTCGAGAAGTTGGAGGGGTGACGCTCAAAATTCAATGGGAAACTTCAGATGAAGCCTCAACTCTTGAAAGACGTTGGAAAAGGCCCGGCTGTCGAGAAAGTGCGGGAAGAGGATGAGTAGAAGAGGGGTCGTCGATGCCAGATCTGAAACTCATCACAGGCTGACTGATTTGCGGATCTCTAGAACCACCTTGCAACCGTCCATCGTACCTAATGAAAGCCGACTTCTATTCCTCTCCTTCTGATGAAAGCACAGATGAGAAAGGATTGACGCACGGATTGACTGGTCTGCTAAGCACGAAGTTCTTGAATGAAGCTTGACGATTGTATGCTTGATCAGAGACCCGTGGTCGAATAAGGGTCAGAAAGGAACGCATCAACCACAAACGAGCCGAGGGTGAGGACTAACGGGTTAGAATCGGGGTTTGTCACTAACCTTCCCAGGGTTCATTCTGCTCCAGTGATTCTTAACCTCGCTGCGCGTGCTGTCCGGCATATGCTTCGCGATCGTGGTCCATCTGAGAGAAACCAGACTGTAAGTCGGGGCCTTGCTTCGACTTTGACCGGACTCTATTCTAGGTTCCGCTTCCGACTGTTTGATCAGGATCAGCAAGGCCAGCTCTGATTGATAATGCGTTGTTCAACCAGCCTCAAATCTGTAGTAAGTCACCGCAGAGACAGGGTAGTGCATCCCCGAAAAGCCTCTCAAGATCAACACCAGATAAGGCGCGCTAAAAGAAGCGAGAACTGCGCGTCTTCACGGATGGAGCTCAGAGCTCTTGTCCAGAGACTCTTTCACAATTGGAGACGAAGGCAGGAACCGTCGTCTGGGAGCTCAATACTACGCGCGTCAAAGAGTATCTGGCAACGCCTTCGGGAGCCTTCAAACGGAACACAGACCTGGGCTAGAAATGTTTGGAGGGCGGAAGAATCTCAAAGGACCCGAGAGGCAGGAAGATGAACTCCAAGAAGATCCCAGAGAGCTTTTAGGTGTGACGTAGAAAACTCGAGAGGGTCCAATCGTCGAGTAAAGATGTTTCTTAAACGTATCGAAGGTTGAAATACATAAGCAAGAGCTCTAGTGAGGTCCAACATTTCTGAACACACGTCTTTTGGTGCAGCGGCTAAGAAAGTCGCTACGGTTTCGAGCACCCACTTGTCTCCGTACTGGCGGTGAAGCTGCTCTAGCTGCGCCTCCTCTTCCTTGGTCCAGGGGGCCTGTACAGGATTAACCCAGGGTTAGGTTCTCATTGGTTGAGGTAACCGGAGACCTCAGAAAAAATCGTTTAGAGCTTTAGGTTCTCGTTGAGCTTAAGCGGAGACCTCAAAAAGAATGCTTGGCTCTGGAGCTTTCCAAAGGCACACGGGCACCTTTCGGCGACCAATGGACCCGTCTATAACTGATCCGGTCGCCTTCATATTCACCTTCTGTCGTATCAAATTGACCACCAATTGGCGCACTTCTCCGACTAAATTTAGCTCCTTAGACAATCATCTCCTCTATATATTACTTTTGCACCCTGTCAATCCCGTTCCTAAACTCTGGACGCTGATGCCCTTCTTTGACAACCGTTTGCGTCATCGCTCAACTCCCACGCAAGCATTCCCTGACCCCCCTCAACCGTCGTAACCCATGCTTTCAGGAAACCTTTTGATCCGGCTTCGCTTCTTGAACCCGATCCCAAACCTTCACCTTTTTGGAAGCCAACACGAGTTCGTGCACCACCATTTGCGGCACTGCTCAAGACACCCATGACTCAACTCCTTCGTTTAAACCGCCTTAACCGTCTCTTTGACCCTGCTCCTAAAGCGTCCAGCTAATACCTTCCAAGCTCTTAACCCCGGTTTCAGACCCTCCCCTCCTCGAATGCCAACACAAGTTCGTTGATCACCGTTTGCGGGACTGCTCTAGAGCGCGCACGGACCCCAAACCCAAACCCTCCTAAACCCAAACTTTTCTTGACTTTCTCTCAAACCCCATCTCAACCCTGCTTGAAGTCATTGTTTACCTCTTTGAGCCCTCAACCCGCTTTCAAACCCTCACCTTCCTGACCGCCGACACGCGTGCGTGGTATAACCAGATGCCCCACTGCTCCATGAATCTAAACGCGTCAATTCCAACCCATTTTGAAAGCTCCGCAATTTCTGGAAACGAAACCCCAACAACTCGTTCCTACACCCTCACCTGTTTGGACGCCGACACGAGTGCGTTGTACCACCGGTTGCGGCACTGCTTCTTGGTTCGCCCCGGAAGAACTTGTGCGGCCGCCGCCCACTCCCCGAGACCGTGCTTGCCCACGAAATCGGTCAGCACTTCATCCTCCTCCTGCAAAATGATACAAAACGGTTAGAGGGTCAAGGGCTGAGGTTAAACGAGTCCTAAAGTTACCTCAGGGAGATTGGGCTTTTAGGTTTCTTGTTTCCGGGTTGTTGATGTTTAGGCTGATGCATCCCGACGTCGCAAAGTTGGTTCATTTCAAACACGGTCTTCAACGAAACAGCGAAGCAAGAAGCAGAATACCGAGTAGCTGCATATTTCTCGAGACCGTTCGTTTCCACAAAGTTGCTGAGTAACTCGCTCCTGCAATGCCAAGGGTATTGGTCAGCTGCTAGCTGTTCTGGATTCGACGTTCTGCATTCTTGAAAAGTCCTGTTTCAGAACGAGTCATGAATCGAGCTGGCCTATCGCTGGAGGACCGTTCGCCTCACAAGATCATTCACCAACTCGTATTTCCCTTGTATTGCCAGCTAGATCTACTTTTCCTTTGCACTTATCGAATCTGACCGTTTCTTTCAAAGAATTTAGACTGATATCAGCAAGTAAAGAATTTGAAGCTAGCCACTCGTTCAAGTAATCTTTCCACGTGCTCAGCAGCTCAACCTTTTCTTGCAGAGCTTGAGAATCTTTGAGTGCTTTCTGGATCAAAACTTCCCAAGGTCAAAGGTGTCAGGGGTTTCTAAATCGAAAGACCTTGAAGGACCTGACAACCAGAGGAAGGATTCTAGTCAGAAGCGAAACTTGAAGGCCCATTCTCCGTTATGAATCGCTCAGCAGCTTGTTTCCTTCCTGCCACAACTGAAATCTAGAGTTTTGTGGTCATCAGAACTTGGGATTTTGTATTTCGACTTTGGGGAAAGGGGGCTATGCACAGTCCAGCAAGTAGAGATTGGGTCCCAGTAACCAAGCATTCAATAAATCTGTTCTTTCTTATGGTATTGATCAGCAACTTATCTGTCCTCTTACAGGAGTGGCACACACGTATGTCACCAAAGCAACCTCCTACGATGCATGAGAGCTGACAAGGTCCCATTAGAGTTTGAGCAATCAGCAGAGCAGAAGCTTTTGGAGGCACTTTGCTGTGGCGCTTGATCAACATTTCGACCAACCGAAATGCATATTCTCCTCCTCAACAGCCACGAAAACTTGTCAGAGCTCAACTGGCTGGCATTAACTGAAGTCATGACTATGACCAAGGAGCAATCCACAAGGAACTCTCCTTCTCTCCGACATTCTGCTTGCTGTAAGAATGACGACACATCATTTCAACAACGACTACCTTTGGATCGTGTCTGGGATGACAGGCAGATTATCATAACAGAGCTGCTTCTGAGGATCTATTTGTCAGGGCAGTCCCTTGCATTGGAAGTACTCAGCCCAGAGCTAGGCTTAACCGGACCAAAAATGGAGTCAAACTTTTGCATTTTCCCTGACGGGCGACGGCCAGCAGATGCTCAAAACATGAGCTATCATGCTAACCCAAACAGCGACAACCTGGGATATCCAACCTGAACTTCCACTTTCAGAACTCCTCACCTGAGTCCAACTTGGCCTTTTCGCTGGGGGGCTCCTCCTGGCAGCTTTTCCGCCCCCGCCTTGCTGCGAGTACTGGCTCGCCTCCCCCGCATTCCCAGTCAGCTCCGAAACCGTTACCCCTTCGGCCGCCATTGCACTGAAAGTCGTCTAAGTGTGCCTGTTGGCGGCCTTCTAGCGAAGACACACCTCTACCCCATTTCCACAGGCTTCATCTTCTAATGCGGGGTTTGAGTAGGACGATGATATCGATTGGTTGGATTGGAGGGAGGGCTGGTTTGCTCGTCTCGGATGTTGACAAGGTTATTGACAATGTTGCCTGGCTAAGGGTTAAAGGTTGCTAAAATGACTAATGTGTCTGGCTAACGGTTTACGGTTGCTGGAATGTAATATGTTGCTTGGCTAAGGGTTCAGGTTGCTGAAATGTCTAATGTTTCCTGGCGGAGGATTTGACGTTGCTAGAATGCCTGACGTGCTGAACGATCCTAAAGGGGTTTGTTTGGAGGGTTTTCACACTTTAGGAGGGGTTTGCTGGGAGCCAGAATGGTCTAGAGGCCTGTGACGAAAAAGGGTTTGAGAAGGAGGAGCCTAAGGCGTTCAGAAGCATTAAGGAGAGGTTTGACTCAAAGGTCGGCAAAGCCGTTGGCTATGTGGAGAGGGACTGAAAACCGGAGTGATCCAAGTTGGGGTTTGATCAACTCTGGAGGGTTTCAGTGAGTGGGTTATGCTCTTTCTAACGTACACAAATGCCTGTCGAGTCTCTAACTGGGGCGTAGGACACTTCAGGGGTTGGCGTTGGGTTCAAGAGCCGCTGATACAACGGCTACGTCTCGTAAACTAAATGGCTTAGCTGAGGTCCTTGATTGGCTGGGGCATGGAGGGTTGCGCAGGACAATCTAGCCGGTGCGTCTAGCAGTGCGACACTTACTTTATGTGTCCAGAAAACCTGCAAGTAGTCAGAAGACAGCGTTGTCAACAACGTCATGCATGCCGCACCTTGTTGTGACCATACACAAACATATTTGAATGACTTCAAATCAAGGAGGGTGAATGCTTGGGGCAGATGGTTTGCAATCTTCCACGAGCAGTGTTACTTCAAGCAGAGCTCAAACACACGTTTGGCGGGACCGACGCACGTTATTTTGGCCCTTCAAAAGGTGGTCCTCCAGAAACCAATACGAGATCAGAACCATGTATTATGAAAGTTCCACATTCCTGTAAACGAGCCGTGTACCCCTATATGCTATTTACCCCGTGTGCAAGGCTACGGTGATCCAACTCACCAGGTATCGCGTCCCCGTTAAATTGGGTCGGAAACCCAATGGTCATCTGACGAGAACAGCTCCCAAGCAGACTGCAGAGCTGGTCGTTGACGGGGCGTCGGTGGTCAGGATTGCAGGGGGTGTGTTCTCTAAGCCTTCAATACCCCTGGATGAGAAATTCGGTGTCACCATCTCGGGAGGAGAGATTGAGGGTTCGAGAAGGGCTTGCTTGTCCAGGCCCTACAAAGATACCTTGCAATGGCGACGCAGGCGCAGACTTTCTGTTTCATTTCGTTGTCAGGCGCCAGGAAATATGACACGCAAAATGCATAGATGCATGATGCAACCTCTGAAGTGGATTCAAAGTGGTCCCTTGCATCTTACACCCAACAGTCTCTCTAAACTCGCATAAACCTGGCTCTGAACCTCAAATTTTACCCTGACCGAAACCGCGACAAAACCCCGGTCTGCATGCTTCCCTTCTTGTGCAACATACTTGACAGAAATCCGCTCCGAGCGAGACACTGAAGCCAAACTTTCAGCAAAGAAAGCCCGCTCTAACTATCTTGCATGTTCCTGTCAATTACGACACACATTGTAGCCCCGCAATGATCACACCTGAGCACAAAGAAGCATACTGCAAACAGAATGCATCTCTCAGACCATAGTGGCGCCAGCTAGGCGCTCAGTAGCTTTATGTGAACCCTGGCGTCACGACAGGATTGACAGGATTGTGGCAAAGGATATGAGTGGTGTTTTCTGCAATGTTGACATTCGACAAGATGCAGCAAAGAAACGGACAGGCGACGAAAGAAACAAGCGGGTTCACAGCGCCTTTTGCGCTGGAAGCGGGTTCCAAGAGAAGGCAAACTTCAAATTTGTTAGTCACCCCAATTGCTTTTGAGCATTACCTTGAGATAACGGCTTGTCATCTGGCGCTAGCATCCCTTTGCTTCAACCATCGCTTGACAATCCCCACCGCTAGCATTCAGGACACAATGCTAATGTCCCACTCATGTGCCACTGTGAAGAGCGGAATCCTAGTACTCTTTCAGCTATTTTCAGTGCGTCGAACCCTTTGCCTCCTGACAACTGAATGAAGATGTCAAAGCCTCCTCTCCGCAAACTGACCACCCTTGTAGCATCGCTGCGGCTCTTGTCGAGTCCTTCTCGAAGGTCACCGCAGTGTACCAACCGCGCCCCTCGCGCAACTTGCGTCAAAAGCAAATCCTAGAATTGCAGCGCATTGAGAGAGCACCTCTAAACCACAAGGAAACCCTCATTCCACACCTTACCAAACTTTTATTGGGGGCCACCTGCCAAATCTAGCACAAGCAAGACGCGCATTCCCTCTCAGGCCTGAGTGTCCACGGTATTTTGCAGCGGTTACATGGAGGGTTTATCCTATTCCTCATAACCTGACAAGATTTGTTGCAACCTTCAAAATTGCTGCGGCCTGTATAGGTAGTATGCATTGCACCTTGTCTGCTCTGCTTTCCAATGACCAAGGGCTGAGGAGTCCCCCATCAAGTTTTGAGTACCTATACGGTATTCTACCGCATTACGAGCCAGTGTATGCCATCATTTCTGGAAACGCGTCGCTGCGCCAGGCTGTAAGTCACTATGTCTTTGTAAATAATTCAGTGCACTGACTGCACAGAAAAGAGCATCAAGAAGCGGCCTGTGAACCTCTGGAGTTTGAAGAGTCAGACGGAAGAGATTGCCGATTGCAGTTTTTGTGCCAGCCTGCTCAGTGCTGACAGTGTTGTGCAAGGAAGACTGATGACGCCATGCACCGCGCATGCTACCTAGTGGTGATCCCGCTATCCAAGGGGCTATTCAGACCAAAAGTTGGGTCACAGCTCCAAAATTGAGGTTTTTTGGCCATTTGCAAGGTACATTTCTCCGGGTCCTCGGTCCCAAATCTGGTGTCTTCAGACCGGTTCTAGGTTTCAGGGTAAAAATTTGGGTTCACTGCCACGTGGAAGCTGGGCGTCAACTGGATTCGCCGAGCGACGTCACGAATGGCACGGAGACCCAAGAACCGAAGAACCGAGAACCGAGAACCCGCCCGAATAGCAGGTTCACAGGTTTCGGCAATTTTCGAGAACCTGGGTCTCCGAAAAAAACCGAGAACCGAGTTCGGTCTGAATGCACCGTTCGGCAACTTGGGTTCCCGATCGCGACCCAGGTTCTCCATTTTGGCTGGGGAACCCGAAACCCTAAGTTCGGTCTGAATAGGCCCCAAGTAGCGTACTGGGTAAACCGTACCAACATCCGTACAGTGACGACATGAGGCACCTCGCGAGGATAGGTGATTGGCTGGAAGTCGAAAATCAATAAACAACGTCAACTTCGCACCAATAAACTGGTATCCAAACTCGACTTCGACGCCGATGCTTCCTGCTCACCGAGTCACACGGACTCACACTGGATGAATGTCACTTGAGGAGGTGACATTTTCCGAACATCGATCCGTCATCCACCACCGTACACTTGGGCAGCGCGAGATCTGCGAGGTGTCAGAGCGGCACTCGGCTAC